AATATTTGCATAATCCTGCTCTGAAACCAGATCAATGACAAAATGGAAAGTGACATGTTTTTAAGATTATGTGCATAATGGTTTGTTTACTTGTTCCCTGGGTGTTTGAAATCAACATCCTCTCAGCTCCAAAATAATAATAAGGAATTATAAAAGAGAGCAGGTTGTTAGGTTGTCACCCACACAAACACTATTTGCCTTTTAAAACAGATTGGCACCTTTTTCAAAGCAGATGATTTTTTCCTGTTTTTTGTAAATTGTGAAAAAAGAAAAAAGCGTGCTCTGCTGTGGATGATCTTGGATATATGTACCCAATACTCTATGCCTGCTGTCACATCGAATTATGAGAATTATACCTTTTTATAATGTGATATCAATTTAAATGATCAGATGCATGCAGCCCTCTAAATTGCATCAGTTACATTGCTTGTAATTAACTCTCAACATTATTTTATAAGTGTCCCAACTATTATTCCCGTTTCTGTTCTTAAGCCATTGTTTCAATGAACAGAAGCTTATATTACATTCCAGAAAAAGCACAATATGTCTTCTTGAAAATTAATGTAAAAATATTCCTATACTCTTGGAGTGAAAGATCACAATAAGTTCACAACTTATTATTTCTCTGGTGGTTTTAGAGAACAATTCATGCTAATTTATTTCACTGTGAACTTTATCTATTGAATATTTTATGGACTAACCAGCCTTTCTCAGCAGAATTTCAAACTTTTCAACATTTCATTAGTCATACATATAAATGATGTTTCCACATATTACAGGGCTACAAAGGGTAAAATAGGTTACATCTATAATAACATTGCCAGGCTCAAATCAGTCCTTCTCATTAGATAAACGGGGTTGTGTTAGACTGTATTTCTCAGTATTTTCTCCTGCGTGATCAGAGAGCTGGAGGCTGCAGTCCTGACCTTGCTGCAGTGCTGGGCTAAATATTAATTGGAGTTTGTGGTGTTTATAAGTCAGTTGTGGTCATTATGGTTCCCAGTCGTGCAGCTGCCTATTTGTGTGGATGTGTGCTGCTGCTCCGGAGTCTTATTTATGAGGCTGCTCCAGTTAGTGCGCTACTACATCAGAGAGATGCGCAAGATTTCTATCTTTCATTTAAGAATGGAAGTCCCTCTTATAAATGCTTGACTTCTGCACAGCTCCTGATTCTCGGACAGACGAGATGCAAAGAGTGTGATGGCTTCCATGGTCTTATTTTCATGGTTTAAAACAAGAACAATAAAATGGCATTACTGGTCCTATTTCCTATTATCATAAATGTACCATAAATTCCGACCTATAAGTCGCTACTTTTTTCTCACACTTTGAATCCTGCGGCTAATAAAACGATGCGGCTAATATATGAACGGATTCTTTGTTTGGCACATTGTCCATTCATATTTACAATCTATGGTTTGGCAACACAGCGGATGCATATGCAGCCTGAGTGCCGAAAGCGCAGCTGTCTGTGTGGGCAACACACGGATCTACGGTTCACATGAAGTTGCTACACTAGCTTGTGATATTGTCAGTGCACTCAAATAGTATATTGCCGTGTGATAAAATAAGTTATGATGCTAAATGAACATTGGTGAGGGGAATATGTCTTACCCATATGCGTAAATGACGAGAAGAAACATCTCAAACTGCAGTAGACGGACATCTACTCATACCTGATTGATAGAACTAGCCCCACTCTCGAGAGAGTCTGAAATCTGCTGAAATCCTACAAGACACTGACATGAGACAGACAGGACAGTGGCTCTTTGTGCAGGAGACATGCACAGTAGAGCACGGGGAGAGATGGGGTGATGCACTAAGGAAGATTCTAGTTTGATTGGAAAACATACAAAGAAATGCAGATGATGCAGCTTTTAAGTTAACGGCAATTGATGTGGCTGTGGAAGAAGGAGACAGAGCTGCTGCACGTGAGCTCAGTATCAGTGATTCAATGGTGAGATTTTGGTGACGGCAGCGTGACGAACTGACTCAATGCAAGAAGATGACAAAAGCTTTCAGAGGCGATAAAAGCAGACGGCCTGAAGTTGAAAACGTTCTTGAAGACACAGACACCTGCGGCTTATATTCGAGTGTAGCCTATATATGTACAGTGTTAAAATTTTCAGATGCGCTCAATAGTCTGGAAAATACGGTATACCAGTAATTGCATTTAATCTTTCACCTGCTCTTTGGTAACGTGAAGGCAATAAGTGACATATTTACTCCAAAACTGAAAATGGTTGCCAGTGTCATCATATTCAGTGAAGTTAAAGGTTAATTTGTCTTTCTCTGCATTTGACCCATCCTTCAATGCTGCTGGGGCAACCTGTCAGATGCATTGGGCACCAGTACAGGGCTCAGGGTCCCTTGATCTTGATCTTGGCCAGGACTATCTTAGCTATCCGGTCCTAATCCAGAACCTTGCTGTGATTACTAGCAACACTAGCTGGAGTGTACAGACCTTTTACTCACCTCTTACTCACATGTGATACCCTTTGATCACCTCTCCTCAAATCTGTCTTGTAAGTTGGCCTGCTGGTCTCACATTCCAGGCAATGCAAAAACATCTCCATAGAAATGACCAGGTGAAAAGGACCACCCACCAGAAAAATTATAGTGCACTTTAGTACATTTAGTACACTTGTTTTTGTGTTTTTTCCTGTGCACATTATTCCAGATACTTCTTTTATGATCCAGCATCACTTCTTAAAAACAAGACAAGCAGAATAATAATGAATTGGCTATATGAAACTGAAAAAAAAAAAGACATAACCAGCCTTTTCCTTTATCAGAAGCATACATAGACATCCAGCTGTGTCACAGTTTTACCACACATTAGTTACAGTATCTTCCCCAGCTGCTGAAGTCAGAGTGAAGGCAGTGCACAGTGAAGGGCATGTGTTGTGAAGATAGCATTATGAGGCTGGGACTAATTAACTGTTTCCATTTCCCTAACAAGCTCTCTCTCTCTCTCCCCTCATGTCCTTGTCTGTGTGGGTGTTACTCGCCCTCTCCCCGCACAGTTGAAGGAGCGGTGCTGTTTTGTATTCAGGTGGACTCCTCCTCTCAGTGTGTGCCTGTGCCGAGCAGGTGTCCAGGCTGCGCTCACTGGATGATAGCCCACTGATAACTGCCTGCCTCAGACTGGGAGATAGGCACACTCCCTCCCACTTCCTCCCAAAAGAATGACATGTTTCACAGAGTATGTTAGTGGTACAGGAGACACCACCAACGTGCAAATGCTCCGACGTGTGCTCAGCATGTTCTCCACATACATTGGTATTCACGGGCCACATACTCTGCAGCAGCTTACAGCGTTATGAATGGAATACATCAATGACCTGTTTGTATGATGTTTGTCATGTGAGGGACAGCCAAACAGTGCACAAAATAATAATTTAGATTTATGAAATAAATATATCACATAAAGGGGAGGGCTGAGCGGGGTTTAGACTAATTCAGAATTCCTTGTAGAGGTGATCATAAGGACATTCTCTAAAATCAACACAGTGGCTGAGTAGCTAGCAGTCTCACCTCAACAAGAAGGTTCCAGGTTTAATTTCCAGCTGCCGGGCCTTTCTGTGCAGAGTTTTCTTGTTTCTCCCCATGTCTAGATAGGTTTTGTTGGGAAACTCTAATTTACCCCATTAACCTAATACATGCACCATAGGTAAAATTGTCACCTTAGGTCATCCTGACTGAGCTCAGCTATCTGGGGATGGGTCCCCAGGCACTGTACAGCAACAGCTCACTGCTCTTGAAAGTTGCCTCAGGAGCATTGAGGGAAGGGTCAAATGAGGAGAAATTTCCATACAGGAACAATAAAGTGTAAGCACTCAGGCCAACTATTGTGCCATTATGTTAAAAAGTATAAAACACTGGGCCTCATTCGTGAAAGGTTCTTATGAACAAATTTGTACTTAAGGCCTTCTTATGATCATTTTTGGCATTCACAAAACTTTTTCTTAACTGAAAAATATTCCTATGAAAGAACAAATCCTAAGAAGAGTCAGAAGCACTTGCAAGAACAATAATTGTACTGTAGATTATTATTACTTTGATAATGCAACTGAGAATTCTAATTCCTCCATGATTCTAAGTTATATATTTTCTTAAATGATTTCCTATAAACATCTTGAGCATGTGGTCTATTCAGTTTAACAGACTTTATACAGGCTGCAGTGAGCCTCAGTCTGTCCTAGCCCCAGTGATTTCCATATGGGTCACTGTTACAGCCCTGCGCCTGGTCACCATGCTGGTCTCAACACTCCCAACACCCCCCCCTGAACCCCAATGATCAGAGCGCACTCTTATGCACCTCTACCCCAGCCTCCTTCCCACATTTATGACTTAGATGTTGCCTCACTGGGTGTGTTCATATGAGTTTGGACATTTGAAATCACTGCTGACACTGTAAAACAGCGGTACTCTGTAGAGGTGCTCCACCTGACTTTCTCGTCACTCCCTCGTGCTTTCACGTGTCATAATGCCAAAACCATATTGGCCATATTTGGAAGTTCAAAGATCGTTTGTAACCAAATACATACATTTTCTATGTAAATGAAATGTAAATGATCGTGGAGGTTTCTGTAGCTGGATGTTGGTGAATTAGGTGCAACTGTCAGTTAAGCAGGAATTTGTATGTATTTGTAAAAACGCTTTGTGAATCTCACTCAGAGTTCTCTCAGCACAGAGTTCTCTCAGCATTTTCTTAAGTGGAAGTTACATAAACATTTTTTAAAGAAAACTTTCATGAATGAGGCCCACTGTCCTCATGTAACCCTGAAAGGACATGTACTGTGAAACACACAGTATGACAATTTGACTTGCCCCACACACACGGTTGCCTACACTTTTGAAGTCTTTTTGATTAATGCATGGAGCATCAGATAGTGACTGCTAGACTGTTTACCTGAGCTAAGCTCAGAATAGAGCTGCTGCTCCTCCACATCATGAACAGCTAAGGACACAGTTTGTCTCTCTGTTTGTCATTGTAGGATTCCCCTGGAAGAGATGGAGGAAGTGCCTGTGGTGAGAGAAGTCTGTGCATCTTTGCTCAGACAGCTGATCCCAAAACACAGCTCAGGAGGGAGAAGGCGATACAAGAAGCTGCATGAAAGTCAATATTTTAGTGTCAGTAGACATTGGTAAGTGATAAGTTATACATTTTTTTTGCCAAATTTAAAACCTGTGAGTTTGTGGGTCCTCGTCTCGCAAGAAACCAGTTGGCTTCAAATGCAGCTCTTAGGATCTCTGAACAAGTCAAGAGTGAGGAAGACAAATATACAAATTTACCAAATGATCTCTGCATGTGTGTTGTACCCATGTAGCCACATCCATCTCTATGCAGACATACACTGTGGCTCCGGTCAGGTTGTCTGCCTGGTTCATAGGTGTGTGCGTTTTCCTCATTGATGAAGATTCATGGTGGCCGGGGCTGCTGCATGTCCGCTCTGAACGCAGGAAGGATATTCATGCTGACAGGCCTCCTTCTCCCTGCAGGCCCACGAGCCCATCACACAGGCCGTCAGTCACCACACACACACACACAAACACACACATGCACAACCACACACCCACACACACACACCCCATGGCACCACTTAAAAGAGAGGGAGAGATGTGAGAGGGACCGAGGATACTGCAGCACGGAGCTCCCAGGCCTATGCACTGATGAGCATGATCTTCTGCCACATCATCTGCTCTCTATTCATTGCATTGGCATCTGTACATATACACGAGTCATATAAGCCTACTGGGAGTTGCACCCTCAGCCCTGGCGTAGCTGCTTTATTTCACAGTGGATTTGCTGGTTGTGACTTTGATGTGTAGGCTCTTCATGTGCAGCATAGGGAAGTGTTCATACATTATACATCAAATAGGAAGAAAATAAAAATATGCATGTTATGACATATACTGCATAGTTGGGATGCCATTTATATGTAAATGGTTATGCGTGTGTGTACAGAGAATAGACTGTACAGTGTCACAGCAGATTGTCCTTAATGTTATTGTGCACATTTGATTGATTTCATGTTTTGATTCTCAGCAAACGTCATAATAATAGGTTTTTAAAGCACAGTGAAGTATATGTGTGCACCTTTTACCTGATAATTCCTGAATTTGGCTTGAAATAATGGCAAGCTAGTTGGGATTTGTGTTATTAGGTTCTTTTTTTCAGACCAAGAGTTTGTTTTCATACCTGACTGTTTCGACTGCTCACTAATGGTCTTCTTCAGAGTGGTCACATGATGTTGCTGTGATGTATCCGGTCAGCTGATTTAAACAGGTTTTGGTACTGTCTTCCTACCGATGGAGGCAGGATGACAGCGCCATCTGCAGTCTGACTTCCTTAGGACATTATCCCAGATCAGTGAGAGTAAAAAAAGACCCCTCATCCCTGTTTATAGTAGCCAGGCTGGTGCCACCTAGTGCCGCCGCTCAATTTAATTTCTCTCCAGCGACTAGGTCAGGAATAGAAATACACTCGACAGTTTGCAAAACCCCAGAAGTGCAAGTCCAGGAACCAGCCAATCAGCAAAGAGCCATACATTCTGTGTTGACAATGATTCCTGAGATTGAGGATTTAAAGCCAGAACAAAGAGAATGTTTGGTGAATTTTAACAAGAAGAAAGATTGCCAATTGCCCTTTTTCCAATGGGATTTGGGAAAAGATTAATATACCAGTTAGCCCCGTTAGCGGCGCGTTGCATACTTCATGAAAAAATAGCAGCGATTGGTTACATTTTTAAAAAGTACCCACCTACCGTCGAGCGAACAAATTTTAATACTGCGAGGTCAGACTTTTTCCACGAAGTAAAGTTTTATAGTCCCAAAGGCACTTTTCCTTATTTCGATTGCCTCTTTAATCCAGCGATGATCTTTGTCCTTTGTCCCAATGATGTTGCTCTGTCCCAGTCCATAATGTGGTTCTCTCTTTTTTGCAGTGCTCAGAGATGGATGATTTGAGTTGTTCCTGTTCTCCTTTGTGTTTTGTTGCTCATGCATGCCTTTGCTGTTCCATCCTGCCTCTACCTGTAGGAAGACAGCAGCAAAATCAATATAAATCAACTGACCGTGCACGTCACAGCAACATTATAACATATATTATACAATAACATAAAGTGTGTGAAAACTAAATGAGCCTCATTGGACTATTAGTTGGGATTGAACCAGCAAACAAGATTGCTGGTTCAATCCCAACTCTAACCAATGGCCTCTTATTTAGCTTCAGCTTGTCACTGTGATTAGAGCAATTTCTTCCAATGAAATGGACTATTAACCATTACTGAAGATGAATTTTGGGAACAATATCCAGTGTATAATTTTTTGAATATTTACTAAGTTTGCAAAATGAATAGCCTATTACTGCCTGAATTGCCGAAAATGCTTTATTTTACAACAGGTAATTTGCATAGCGAGTGCCTCAACATAATGATAGGAGGAAGCATAATCTAATTTCAGTGTTCATTTACAACATACATTGTCCAAATAGAGTAATAATAACTCCAGTCTCACTTTCAGCTTGCACACGAAACCATGCAAATGAGAACAAGTGAATAAATAAATGTTTCATGAATGCTTTTATGATGAGAATATGCAAATGAGGGCAGTGAATGAATGAATGTTTAATGCTCACTTGTTCAATGAAAAGGACTTATTAACCAGAGCGCTGACTTAGCACAGCACACTATCACGCATGAAAAGACTACATTAGAGTTTGGCAAAGAGGTGATACAATACATTCAGATGAACAACAAGGGGCACTAATCAGGTGGATCTGATTGACAGGACGTATTGAATTAGCATTGGCTCTGAATTAGCCGTCCCTAGCGTGTCTGCATTTGTTTGGATAATGGATAACAAATATGCAATCAGATGAATATTGCATTGGGTGATGTGCCAAGCCTGAGTTGTATTTTTGGCTTTTGTAGCTGCTTTGAGAACACCCACACAAAGGTGATATACATCATTGTCCTGATTAGCTGCTCTTCAACTTTTCTTTCTTTCTCTTCTCTTGCAAAGCACATGTAGACTAAGGCATACCAAATATGTTGCACGAAAGACATTTTTTTGATGGCTGGAAAATAGTTGAATTATTAGCACCATTGCATCTGACTTTATTGCATTAATTAAAATATTAAAGGTAGTTTTGTTTATAGTTTAAGCTCTTTAAAATGTTTTTGTCTTTACATTTTTGTGTGTGTTTTTAAAGACTATTCTGTCCCTCAAGTTTATTAGAGAGGACATCTGCAGTATGATATGAAGGGAAAAATGGTAGAGATAGTCGACAAATGGTGCAGGCTAGGAAACAAATCAGCAAAGATGAGGTGGTAACAGTGACACATGTGCAATCCCTTAAGCCACTACACCGCTGGCAAGGACAAGAAGTTTATGTTTTTGAGGGGACAATTGACAAGTTATTTTCCACATACATGTATATGTTTTTATTATAGAAATATAATGTTCTAGAGCCCCAATTCTAAAAGTTCAGTTCCTTAAAGAGGCAAGTCTCCCCTCCCTTCGCTTCCCAATCAGCCTGCATCCCTCTAATGGCATGTTTTTGATAAGGGATACCATAACATGGTAGAAACCTAAAAAAAAAAAAAAAAAAAAAAAAGATTTTGCATAATACCCTCTCTTTAACAGCAATCAGCAATGAGAACTACTGTCAAATGACTGTAATATTTAACTACTGTTAAATATTATAAATTACTATAATATAAAGTTTCATTGATGTGATTCATGCACCTTTAATTCATGCATTTTCAACCAAACAGCAGCATTGACTGGCAACTCTCACAGTCTTATCAGCAGTCGCACTGTGGCCTTTTCATTTTATCCCTCAATGAACCATATTAGTCCAATAATCATAGTCTCTTGTTGAATTGGCTTGCGCCAGTGCCAACCCACCACATGTCTGAGGCCACCATGTCTCCTCTTTGACCTCCAGTCCAATGCAGGCTGCACCCGGCCCGGGTCCCCCTCTCTCCCCCAGCGCTACAGTTAGAGCTAAATGGGGCTTAACAAAAATATTGTCAAACTGCCTGGAAAGCCAAAGGGAGGAAGCCGGGCGAGCGTATCCAAATAGCCTCCATTTGAATTGCTAATTTGAGCTACAAAATAAAAAAAAACTGTTGACAGAGCTGAAAGCAGGGCAGAGGGAAGTGTATGGGCCTTAATAAAGCATCTGTGTTAGCTGCTGGGAGGGCAGCAGAGATCAAAGTGTGAAGAGAAATAAGGTTTTGTAGGGAGCTTTCTAATGCATTCAAACTGCTATCTATGTTCATTTTAGTCCTTTATTCAAGTGTACACAAGTCTTATTACTCACAGAAACTGAATTTAAATAACTGGAAATATAGTAAATTAAATATGTAAATTTGAAAAGTGAAAATTTTCTGGTGGTGCGTCCTTGACCTTCTTTTCTCATGAAATTGTTATTACTTTGCCTTGAATGTTCCACAGTATGGCATATAAACTAAACTAAATATTACTAAAATCTTCCCCATGGTAAAAATATTATTTTCTAATAGACACGTCATATTCACTAACCCTCGTGACTCTAGTACACATACATGTCTATTATGTAGCTTGGGTATGAGAAGATAGAGAATGAAGATGGGCTTTGTTTGGTGATGTCAGAGATATTGTGTAAAGAGTGTGAAAGGTGAACATGAGCTCTTGCTGCATTAATAAACTGCTCATATATGCCATGCAAATGTGTGCTGTGCATATACCCCGGCATGTGCTGTGTCTGTCACGGGTCACAGATGAGGCAAACTCTCAATGAACCAGGCACAGATACTGTATCATGTGTACGTGTTCAACAAAACCATCATCCAGGAACAAGAGTATTCACTTGTGTAATATGATTGTAGTAGTCTGGTGTTCGCATACAAAAACATGTCAAATGCAACAAATGTCATATGTTAATATCTGTGCCTGCCAACATGAATAATGCTACTAGAATATTTCCAGCTAGTTGTGATTTTTCTAGATGTCTTCCTATGTTTCGGGAACAACCAATCATCATGAGGTTTGTAAACATGGAACAGACCAAAGGCCATGTGTTTCTTGGCTGGTCGACAAGAATATCCAAGAATGTCTGGCAAAAAAAAAAAAAAAATACAGTTCTAGTATGGTAGTT